GTTAGGGGATTGAACCCAGGGCCTCAGGCAAGTTATATCACAAGTTATATCACATAATTCCATGGGACAACCTGAACAAATTCTAAATGAAAACAATCCCACAGGGCTACAGACCACTTTAATACCTTTATGTGTGTGTTTTGAGATACTGAACCCAGGGGCACTACCACTGGAGCTACAGCTACATCCCTCACCCCTTTTATTTTTTAGAGACAGAGCTCACTAAAGTGCCCAGGCTACCTCAGACTCCCAAGTTGCTGGGATTCCAGGCACATGCCACCGGGTCTGCTAAAACTATTTTTTTTAAGCTCAAAATAACAATTAAAAATGCATTATTTAGGAGGCTGTGATTGTAGCTCAGATGTACAGCACTTGCCTAGCATGTGTAAGGCACTGGGTTCAATCCTCAGCACCAATAAAAAAAAAATAATAATAATAATAAATAAATAAAGTTCTTAATATCTTTAAAAAAAATGCATTATTTAGGGCTGGGTTTGCGGCTCAGTGGTGGAGCACTTGCCTAGCCATGTGTGAGGCACTAGGTTAGATTCTCAGCATCCCATGTAAATAAATGAATAAAATAAAGGTCCTTCAACAACTAAAAATATACATCAAAAAAATTTAAGGGGCTAGGTTTATGGCTCAGTGGTAAAGCACTTACCTAGCTAGGTTCAATTCCCAGAACTACATAAAAAAAAATAAAGATATTGTGTCCATCTACAATTAAAAATATTTTTTTTTAATTTTTTTAGGGCTGGGATTGTGATTCAGTGGTAGAACACTCACCTACCATGCATGAGGCACTGGGTTTGATCCTCCATACCACATAAAAATAAAATAAAGTTATTGTGTCCCCCTACAATTAAAAAATAAATATTTTTTTTAAATTTTTAAATGCATTTTCATAGCAACTCAGGTGGCTGAGGCAGGTGGATCACAAGTTCAAAGCTTGTCTTATCAAATTAGCAAGGTCCTAAAACCCATTTCAAATTTTAAAAAAGGCCGGGGCGGGGCTGGGGGGCAGGTTGGGGCTGGGAATGTAGCTCAGTGGTAAAGTTCCCCTGAGTTCAATCCCTAGTTAAAAAAAAAAGAAAAAATTATTTAGCCAGGCATGGTAGTACATGTTTGTAATCTTAAGTACTCAGGATACTGAGGCAAAAGGATTGAAAGTTCAAGCAAGGCCAGCCTGGGAAAATTAGCTAGACCCTACCTCAAAATACAATAAATGGGCTAGGGATATAGTACAGTGGTAGAGCACTTGCCTAGCATGCATGAACTCCTGTGTTCAATCCCCAGTATTACCCCCTGCAAAAAAAGTATTTAGTCAACCCAGTTCAGAGTAGTGGTACCACTAGGGATGTGGAAAGGCAATATAAATTTGGCCAAGTTCTAGTCCTAGGAAGTAGGCTTGGAGGTGTTTATTTTATGACATGTTACACAATTTTTTACAATTATTGATTATATAAAATTATTGCCAAACGCACAAATGAATAACCTTTGTTACATGTTCTTATTTTTCCTTTAAAACATTTCTCAGGAAGCTTTGGAGTCAGGAAGATAACACACAGAACTCATGATGGTGATTTGACTTTATTAGAGGAAACACAAAAAGGTATGGATGGGACTCTTGTAGTCCACAAAGCCATAAATAGAGCTAGAGACCAAGGTACCATAAGGATCCTGGGTCTAACACCCCATCATAGCCTTCCCTCTCCTCTGTTTTCATTTTTTTAGGAATCTGAACCACCTGAGATCTGGTGCCCACAGAGTAATAATAAACATAGTAAACATAGTAAAAATAAACTCTCACTCAGGCACCCTTGTCTCAACAGGCCACAACAGCTATAGACAGGCTGGCTACAATGTCAAAGATAGAGTCTCTACTGTAGGAATCTACTACTGGACATACATATATATAGGTAGGTTGCAGTTTTGACTTACATGTTGACTGCTATCCAGACAGGGTGGTCGATTTGTTAGCTGAGTTAAAGGTTTCCGATAAGGGGACAAGAAACACTCTTGGATCTGGGTCTCATTACTGGATTTCTGTTTCTTCCGTGTCTAAGAAAAGAAATGGCAAGCTGAGGTCTGAAAGACCAGAGATCACCCTAATGGAAACTAACTCTTAAAGTGATTTTTTAAAATATTTATTTATTTGTTTTTTTTAAGTTGAAAATTCACATAATACCTTTATTTATTTATTTTTATGTGTGCTAAGGATCAAACCCAGGGCCTCGCACGTGCTAGGCGAATGCTCTACCACTGAGCCACAACCCCAGCCCTTAAAGTGATTTATTAGAGCCAGGTGTGGTAGCACACACCTGTAGTCCCAGCTACTTGAGAGGCCAAGGCTGGAGGATCAATTTGAGCCCATGAGTTTAAGACCAGCCTAGGCAACATAGTATAACTCCATCTTATTAAAAAAAAAAAAGAAGAAGAAGAAGAAGTACATATTAAGTGCCAGATGAAGTGCTAACGTCTTCACATGTATTATCACAGCAATCCTGTTTATTATCCTTCTTTAGTAGGATATCCTTTTTTAATTCTAGAAAAACTGGAGCTTAATGAGATTAAGTAACTTGCCTCAAATGAAGGAAAAACAATGGAAGAGGTAAATGAAGTAAGCCTGGGAAAAGCAAGCCCACCAGCAGTATGGAGTCATAGCAGACCCAACCAAGTGTTTCCCTTTCTGAGTTTCCCAAAGGGTGGACAAGAGTACAGCTGTACCCAACTCTCACATCACCCCCAACTCAGTCCACCACAGCAGTGAAGACACTAGCACCAAGCATTTCAGGAGCAACACACAGCTCCATCCCGATCCACCTGCAGAGAATGATGCCCCAAGTTCAAGTGTAAGACATACAAGGGACAGTTAATGTGCCTCCCTTAGCAGGTGGAAAAATCCCCACCAGCGATGCAACTAAAGAGAAGGCTCCAACAGGCAATCAGGAATGAACCCTCTTGTACCAGCTTGTCAAGTTATTTGAAGCTCCAATGATTCTTTTTTTTTTTAGTTTTAGGTGGACACAATATCTTTTTTTTTTATTTTTATGTGGTGCTGAGAAACGAACCCAGTGCCTCACGCATGCTAGGCGAGCGCACTACTACTTGAGCCACATCCCCAGCCCTTCAGTGATTCTTAAGACACATCTGAAGCAAACACCAGGCCTCATTCCACCCTTTACATGCCTTTACTTACAAACTGTCCTAGAAAAAAGTGCCTTCCTTCCTTAGCTGATCCTTTCCTCCAAAGCTCCATTAGCCAAACCCTTGATTCTGAAATTGCTCTCTTTCCCTTTAAAGTAGATATTGCATGACTCTGTTTACTTTTATATAGGTCTTGTCCACAACCAGCAAGTCTCCAGGGCATGAAGCAAAGCACAGACCTCAGTCCAAAGTAGAACATATTGCACTTGAGTATGAGCAAGACTGAAAGGCCAAATTAAGCTCAAGATTTTAAGGTAGGTCCAGAATATTCTACTATTCTGTGACATGGGGCAAGGGACAAATAGGAGGCTGCTAGTTACTATTGTAAAGGCCTTTATCCCCTCCCTCTCCCCCATAAGAGTCAAAGGATCGATCTGAGCTGTTTCTTGGCTTTGGTGTACCCCTCCCAAAAGGAAAACTAAGGTTATATTAGCTTCTAGTGAAGCTACAAAATTTTATTAATCTGTTCAATGCCTGGCACAGAGGGAGCATCAATTACACTACTGAACATATGACTTTGGGAGGTGACTATGTAAACCCAGAAACCAAGTCCAGGCTTCCTTTCTGCACAAACAACCTGAATTCCCACCTTCCCTATCTCCTTGGGCACTCACCACTGCCTCAGGCTGCCAGTCTTCATCATCATCAGATCTGCCTTCCAGTTTCCTTCTGGCCAGCTGACTGGGAGCTAAGCTCCTCCTCTGTAAGGGGAGAGTGGAAATGGATCCTCAGCCTGAGCCCATTAAACCTAGACAGAATTCCTGTCTCCCCTAGGTTCACACTTACCATCCTGGGGCCCAAACGTCAAGTATCCATCAGCCAAAGGTGAAAGGCACTCAGCAACAGAGAATGCAGGACGAGGGCTTGATGTAGGTGGAACTGCTATATTATTCAGAATATGGACTAATTAAAAAGGGGGCATGGATGGAGGGGACCCAGCCAGGAGTAGGAGTTTGAGTCCAAAATGCGAGAATGTTGATCGTCAGTTAGCCGAGTCCAGAGAGTAGACCAAAGAGGAAGTGTCAAGGCAGAGTCGGGTATAAATCTAGGATGGGGAGGATACAGGGGGGTCCCAGAATGGGCAGAGTGAAGTCAGGATAATGGTCTCGGTTAAGAGAGGAGATCCATGCGAGGTGGGGGCGGTAACCAAGGTCCACAAGAAAGAAGCTGGGGTTAAAGTCCGAGGCCTAGGAAGGGCGAGGAGCCTGCATCCGGAGGAGGGGGATTTCCCGGGGCTGGAGTGCGGATAGCGTACTGGATCGAGGGAGGTCGAGCAAGGATCCCAGAAGGACCAATAAAAACCCAAACTGGGAACGGAATCCCAGAAGGGGCTGAAAAGAGAGGCAGAGATGGATTCCAGGACACTCAATTCCCATTAACCTTCCTCTTCTCCAAGCGCGCGTTAACAGCCGCCAGGCTGGGTCAATCGAACCTCCCGCCATGCAGCCGCTCCTTCACTCATTCGCTGCGTTCGATGTGTTCGGCAGTCTCCCCCCAAGGAAGGGGCGGGGCTAGTGATGTGGTAGAAGCTCAGCTGCATTGGAGGCTCAACCGACCACTTGGGAGGTGGGGCTAGGGGAAGCGAACGCCCCCGGCTCAGCCTACTGGCTGACCTTCGACTTTGGCCCCTGGCGTTTTGTTCTACCATTGAACTGGCAATGCTGCAACTTAAAGGACGATTTGCGATGTACTGGGCCTCGGAGGAATTACCACCTAGGGTAGACGCCTAAGGTTTAGGAAAGGCGAGTTTGGGTCGGGTTCAGGAACTGATAGCAACCTTCAAGTGCCGGACCTGAAAGGAGGCCTGGGTTTGAAGTCTTGTTGGCTCATCTAGCACGGAGTGTTCAGCCTGGGCTCTATGTGACGGGCTGGAGCTGTGGGATGTGACCATCTCACGTGTGAATGTCTTGAAAGAAGCTGCCTTCTCCTAGAATGGAAGCGTCTTTAATCACCCAATTTCTCAAAACTTCAGTTTCTTCATATTTGAAATGGTATTATAGTAATAGTACCCAGTAGTGCAATTGCTGGATTGCATGGTAGTTTCATGTTTTGGTTTTGGGGTGTTTTGTTTTGTTTGGGGTTTTTTATTATTATTGGTTTTGTGGCACTTGAGCATTGAACCCAGCGGCGCTCTACCACTAAGCAACATCCCCAGTCCTTGTTTGAGACAGTGTCTTCCTAAATTGCTGAGACTAGCCTCAGATTTGACATTTTCCTGCCCCAGCGTCTAGTGTCTGTGGCATTACGGTCGTCGGCCACTGCGTTCTACCGCTGAGCCACAACCCCAGCCCCATTTTTTGTTTGTTTTTAAGAAACTGGACAAATTGTATTTCAGAATGTACCACTCTACGTTCCTGTCAACAATGTTTGTGCGATCCAGTGTCTCTGCATCCTCATGGGTTTAGTGTTACTTTCTTATTTTAGCTATTCTGGTATATGAAAAGTGATATCTAATTGTGATTGTGATTTAATTTGCATTTCCCTAATATATATATATATATATTATTTAGTTAGTTTATATGGATATAATACCTTTATTTATTTATCTTTAGTTGGTGCTGAGGATCAAACCCAGGGCCTCACACAAGCTAGGCAAGCCCTCTCTACCTCTGAGCTACAATCCCAGCCCCATTTCCCTAATTTCTAATGACACCGAACATCTTTTCATAGGCTTATTTGATATCTGTAGATTCTTAATAAAAATGTCTCTTTTTGCCATTTTTAGTTGAAGTGGTCTTTTTTTACTGTTTTGTTCATTCTTTGTATATTCGATACCAGTCAGTTATGTAGTTTGCAAATATTTTCTTAACAGTCTCTTTCACAGAATAAACATTTTTATTTTATTTTATTTGGGGGGGGCGGATACTGCTGTTGAACTCAAGGGCACTTGACCACTGAACCACCATGCCCAGCCCCAATACCATGAATTGCCTAGTGCCTTGCTTTTGCTGAGGCTGGCTTTGAATTTGCTATCCTCCTGCTTTATCTTCTAGAGCCACTGGGATTACAGGTGCCTGGCCAACACATAATTTTGATAAAGTACAATTCATCAATTTTTCCTTTTTATGAATTAGGATTCTTGATGTCGAATCAAAGGCCCTCCACCCCCATCCTCTTGAGGATTGAACCCAGGACCTCCACATAGTAGACAAGTGCTTTACCACTGACCTACATCCCTAGCCCTCAACATTTTGCTTGGCACTCCATCCTCAAAATTTTCTCTAATTTTTTACCTAAAAACTTTTTGCCAAAAGTGGTGGGTGGCCCAGGCCTGTAATCCAAGCTACTTGAAAACTCAAGCAAAAGATCTTGCAATTTTGAAACCAGTCTTGGCAACTTAGACAATGTCTTAAAAATGGAAAGGACTGAGATGTAAGCTCATTGGTAAAGAGCTCCTGGTACCACCAGAACAAAAGAACAAACATACCAAAAAAAAAAAAAAAACCCTTCATACTTTTACATTTAAATCTGTGATCCATCTTGAAGTACTTTTTGTATAATGTATAATGTTTGGGTTGGAGCCTTTGTTTTGCTTATGAATGTTCAACTGAGTTGTCAAAATGTAACTGGAGCTGGGCACAAAATCAGAAATAGGAAATTCAAGGCCAGTAGTGTGGTTTCACAAAGTTAGCAGCCCAGCAACTTCTTGTTCCTGCATAGTCAGCATGTGACTTCCACCTTTCAGTCAGAAATAGCTGCTCAAGTTCCAGATATTCTGTGAAGGGACAAAGGACTACACACTCCACTCTTTATGGATTATGGATATTATCCATAAAGTAGACACAGGGATGACACAAGATTCTGCCACTATTAGTCCCTTTTGTGTGTGTGTGTGTGTGTGTGTGTGTGTGTGTGTGTGTGTGTTGCCAAGGATTGAACTTGTTAGGTAAGCACTTTACCACTGAGTTACATCCCCAATGAATATATGTCAATTTTATGTATCAATTTGACTATACTACAGGGTGTACAGATATTAGCCATTATTCTGGGTGATTCTCTGAGAGGTTGTTTATGAAATTAACAAATAAATTAGATGTCTGAACTAAATTGGATGACTGGAGTAAAGCAGATTGTACTCCCTAATGTGGTTGGGTCTCAGGCAATAAGTCGAAGACCTAAATAAAGCAAAAGGCTGACCCTAATCCCAGCTACTCAGGAGACTGACGAAAGAGGATTATAAACAAGGCCAACCAGACACTATCTCAAAAAATAAAATAAAAAAGGTCTGAGGATGTAGGTCAGTGATAGAACATCTCTGGTGGGTACAATCCTTAATACCACAAGAAAAGAAAATAGGGAAGGTGCTAGGGAGGTAGTTCAGTGGTAGAGCAATTGTCTAGTATGCAACAGGCCCTGAGTTAAATCTCCAGTATCTTTTTTTTTTTTCGCTACCAAGGATTGAACCCAGGGTCACTTAACCATGAAGACACATCCCTACATCCTTAGCCTTTTTTTTTTTTTTTAAGACAGGGTCTCACTAAGTTTATGAAGTGGCTTTGAACTTGCAATACTCCTGCCCCAGCCTTCCAAGCTGCTCTGATTACAGTTGTGTACCACGATGCCCAACCCCAGTACCAGTACCATTAAAAAAAAAAATTTTTTTTAAAGCAAACCCTCATTAAATTAAGAGAATTCTTCCTGTCTGTTTTTAACATCATTTTTTTTTCTGTTTTACACTCTAACCAAAACATCCATTTTTCCTGAGACAAGCCTTCAGACTGAAACTACACCATCAGTTTTCCTGGTTCTTAGAACTTTGAATCTGATTACAACTCCATCATTTGGCTCTCCTGGATCAGCCAACTTGTAGACTCACCCTGCAGATGCAGATCTTGAGTTTGTCTGCTTCCATAACCATGCATGACATTATCTGAAACCAGATAATGTTTTTTTTTCTTTTTTTTTTTTTTTTTTTTTTTTTTTTTTTTTTTTTGTACCCAGCAGTGCTTAACCGCTGAGCCACATCCCCAGACCCTTTTTATTTTGAGGCAGAGTCTCACTAAGTTGCTGAGGCTGACCTGGAGCTTGTGATCCTCCTGACCTTCCTTCCTCAATCTCCAGAATCACTGGGATTAAAAGTATTCACCACCACATCTAGCTTTTTTTTTTTTTCTTTTTGGCACTTGAGGTTGAACCCAGGGCCTTGTACTGCTTCCTGCAAAGCAAATACTCTACCACTAGCTACATCCCCAGAATTTTTTTATCTTTATTTTGTTTTTATGTGGCGCTGAGGAGCAAACCCAGGGCCTCACACTTGCACAGCGGGCACCCTACCACTGAGCCACAGCCCCAGCCCCCCAGATTTATTTTTTTAATTTTAAATTTTGGGACAGGGTCTTGTCAAGTTGCCCAGATTAGCCTCAAACTTGAAATCCACCTGCTTCAGCCTCCCATTAGCTGGGATTGTAGGTACAAGCCACCACACTTGGCTGCCAATTCTTTATACTTAAAATATATTTATATTTAAACCCATCTATCTACTGTTGGCTCTGTTTTTTCTGGAGAATCCTAATAAATACACTGCCCAGTTGTAGGGAATGTGGTTCGCTTCTGGTTTTTGGCTCCTTCAGGTTACACAGAGCCACTTTTCTGAGTCATGTATGCCCCAGAGTGGTTTGTTATCTGTTGGCTAAGACACTGAGGCAATAAAGGCCCAGCCATAATGGCTGTATGAAGTATACTTTGGTAGGCAATAGGTGATGGTAAGCTCCCCACTGGGGTGGCCAAGGGCTTACAGTTGCACTTCTCCTGCCCCAGGTAGGCACCCTTCTTTTCACAGGTATTGATTCCTAATAAATATCTTGCACTCCAAATTCCATCTTCATTTTTGACTCCAGAGAATTCAACTTGAAACAAATATTCAACTAGCCATGGTGGTACACACCAGTAATAGCAGCAGCTAGGGAGGCTGAGGCAAGAGGATAAAAAGTTCAAAGCCAGCCTCAGCAATTTAGCAAGGCCCTAAGCTACTCAGGGAGATGCTGTCTCTAAATAAAATATTAAAAAGGACTGGGGAAGGGCTGGGGTTGTGGCTCAATGGTACAGTGCTTGCCTAGCATCTGTGAGGCACTGGGTTCAATCCTCAACACCACATAAAAGAAAGGACAAATAAATAAAATAAAGGTATTGTGTCCATCTATAACTAAAACAATTTAAAAAAAAAGGCTGGGGATGTGGGCGCTCAATCATTGAGTGCCCCTGGGTTCAATCCCTAGTACCCAGGGTTTAAAAAAAAAGATTAACAAACAAATTCTTAGCCAGGCTCATAAAGGACAAAGTGAAGAAGCACTTGATATCCTATAGATATCAAGGAGAAAGGGAAGGGCCAAACATGGGGATGCACATCTGTAATCCCAGCATTCCGTAAGTCTGAAGTGTTGAGAGCCAAAGCCGAAGGGGTCCCAGCTGTTTCCATGGTCTAATGTGCAAATCTAATGTTTCATTTGATAACCACTTACCATATAATCCTTTATTGTCTTTTTGGTCAT